TTTAGCAAGTTCTTTCCCTTCATATGGGAGTTGAAAATGAGCAAAGATCACCTGACAAGCTCCTGTAGAGCGCCTGCTAGTTCCTTCTTACTAGAAATCACATGCCAGAGAGTGTTGCCTTTCCAAATGGCGATGCTGCCTCCTCTCCTGGCCCCATTCAGTGTCCTCCAGTATGTCCAGTCCAAGGGTCGAAAGGCGAGGACCTATATTTCAGCAGAAGGCAAATGATCATGGTTTCTACTCCTTCCCCTCCATTTGTTGTCTCTAATGGAGTTTAGAATTGAAGTCCTCCAGGCCCAGAGGCCCTCAGGTCTGAACTATGAAGCAATGATGAGGTTCTTCCATCCCTCCCTCGCTTGTAGAGCTGTGTCTTGATTCTTGGCATGCTTACAGAAGCCATCAAAATATCCCTAGTGTCAGACAGATGTGTCTCTCACCAGTGGGCAGTGGCTTTAACTAATTCATGTGTCCAGCTGACGTGTTTTGGGTGGCTTTGCTAAGCCCTGGAGAAGCGGCTGAATAAAAAACTTCACTCCAACTTGAGCAGCCCCTGCCTCAGTGAAAAGTAAGAGCCACGCAACCCCTAAGCTGTGCTCTGCCACGTCCTCACCACGAAGGCCTCGACATGGTGTGTGCTCAGAAAGGCCTTTTACAAAGAAGAGCATCCAATACGATGAAACCTGTGTTTTAGGAAAATACACATAGCAGGCACTGAGGTAACATGGTCCTAAGGCAGGTTCAGCCTGTGGGCTGTGTGCAGATCAGATGTCCTGCCTAACGGGATTATATAGCGAGTTACGTGGTTACATAGTGAGCTCCAGGCGGCTAGAGCCATGTCACAAAATCATGTCCAGAAAAAAGGACAAATTTAAGAAGACACGATAATGTGCATAAAGCTGTTGTCCTCCGCCTGGATCCCGCATTCTCTACAGTGCACAGCATCAGACCAGAACTTCTCCAGCCTGATCCTCGTTTCTTACCCAGTTCAGTGCCATGAGGGCGGGGCTCTATGTTGGTGAGGCTTTTTTGCTTTTCTGCCAAATAACCTGGAATCTCCTTGTCAGTTTTCTAGAGGAAGTCCTGGCTTCTGGGCTGCACAGCCGCAGCAGGGAGAGCTCACAGGCCCCAAGCAGGTCTGCAATCAGAAGATGAGATGGCAGTGAAGAGCAGTGAGAGCCACACAGCCTCCCTCCCGCCGGGCCTCACCCCTTCTGCGGACTCGGGGCTTCAGGATGGCTCGTGTGTAACCTGATTCCTGAACTGCTGGTTCAGACACCAGGACTGCGCAGGCGGCGTAGGCTCATCCCAACCCACTTGTGATTCTGTATCAAATAAACGTGTTCTTTGTGTATCTGACAGCAGTCACTTCAGTGTCTGACAGACGTGGTGAGGCTGACCCTGAGAAAGGGCTGTCAGAGAAAGGGGTTCAGAAAGTAGTGTTATACACGGCACCCTCACGACGTCCTGTCTGCTCTTGACGTCCTAAGCAAGTGAAGTTCAGAGTGACACGAGACAGCATGGTAAGGACCGTGGTCTCAGACCTTTGGGGAGCTGGCAAAGCCTTCCTCTGTCCAAGTAGGAGTGTTGTAGACAGGTTGGCCACTACAAACAAAACCTAGCAACCCAGCTTCCTCCTCCAGGATGACTGCCACCTGAGTCTGCTCCTCTGCACACCCCCTGCTGAGGCTAGCCTCGTTGCTCTGTCCGGAAGGGCACTGCGGCTCCAGGCTCTGGCAGCTGCTGCAGCTCCTCAGAGGCACGCAGCCCACGAGCTGGCCCCAGCTCATCTGTACCTGTGTGTGCATCTGTCCGTTTCCTCATTCCCTCACTGCCCCAGTCAGCGTTCCAGGACCAGGCCTCAGGGACACAGCCCTGTCTCCTGTGCGCCTCACTTCTGAGGGCTCATGTCTTTGCTGCGGCATTGAGAACCCATGCAGGGTTGCAGCAAGAGTTCATTCTGCGGGGATCTGAGTGATTTTGTTTGATTTCTTTGAAGTCGGATCACGGGAATTCATGAGGAGAGGTGAGATGGAGTCATATGGGACAATGAAGGCAGGGCCTGTACCCAGCGCGTGTTTAATTAGAGCAGAGCAAATGAAAACCCTGCTCTCGGTTTTGCCTGTCCTGAAAGCACTAAAAAGAGATGGTATCGATAATGGCAGGAAATTAATCAGAGCAAAAGCACCACAGCACAGTTCCTCCTGCTTCTCCCGCAGAGTGTTTCTCCAAGTTTTAAGACTGGGTGTGAGTTTGGGTGTGTACACGTGTGAACTCGTGGGCCAGCACCCACGTGCAGATGTGACTACCCAGAAAAGGCGTCCAGTCTCCAGGAGCCGGGAGCCAGCCCGCCCACTGTGGGTGCCGGGAACTGAACTCAGGTCCTCTGCAAGAGCAGCAAGCGTGCTTAACAGCTGAACCATCCCTCCAGACCCTTATATGTTGGTAAGCATTCTCTAGCATTATTCAAATTTTATGTCATATTTATGTGACCAATATTGGGAAGTATTGGTCTTTTTTGTGGCTGGCTCAGTTTCCTCACCCATAAAGTGAAAATAATTAGTGCCTTCCTGATGTGATAGTAAGGATTAAGTACAATGATATAGTACAGTATTTACAGTGCAAATTCCATTATTTCTGGTCCCTTTTATTAAAAAAAAAAAAACATTTTAGTTAAGGAGACATGCTTTTAATGACTTTCTCTTCCATAGGTTAAAATACCCTGCTCAAAAAAACGCCAATCCTGTTTTTAAAATAGGATTTTGAAGTCAAGGATATTTGTTTTTAAATGTCAACTTAGACATTTCTCCCAGTAAACTTACAAGCAGAAATTCACAAGATGTTACCTCTGAGAGTTTTCTCCCCGGGTGGAGCTAGTTAGAAAATGTTGCAGCGGACAGCTGTGGGGGATGCCGTCTAACAGCTGGGCACACCAAGTCCTCCCAGGATCTAATCTCCAGAGAGAAACTGGCTCAAGTTATTCGTGTGTGTGTGTGTGTGTGCGCGCGCACGCACGCGCTCTCAAAGCTCAGTAGTGTTATAACAATGTGTAAAGAAAACCAGAAATGCTTATTCCCACTTCTCCCGGAAGCACTGATCTCTAGAAACAATCCCACTTAGAGCCAAATTCAGGTGCCATGAGGTTCACCCGGTGAGAGAAGCCCGCTTTAGAGCAAACCAGCTGGCATATGGGAATGCCCAGTGCCAAGACAAGCAAAGTGGGGGCGAAGGCCCGGACAGGGCTTCCTAATAGTTCCGGTTACTGGGAAGGAGGGAGCTGGGAGGGCTGGGGACCAGCCAGAGATTTATGTAACATCTTAAGACGCAGACAGGCAGAGAAGGTTTTGCGGCCCACATGCATCTGCTCTCGAATCTGAAAATTACTTTGGTTATTTTTTTACGAGTCCCTCTGCCTGATGTTTTGCAAAGCACTAGCTCCTGTCTGGTGCTATGCAGAGCGCTGTGTCTTGCACACTGGAGACTCTCTGGTATCTGCTGAGTAAACGAGAGCTCCCGAGAGGAGGGAGATGGGGCAAAGACAGGAATTTCTTCTGCCCCCTGAGCCAGAATCTACCGTTCTGTCTCCTCCTTGGAGTGCTGGTGTGATTGAGGCAGGCAAAGCTGTCCTGCTGAGCCGCAGCCCCAACCCCTCCTTAAACCGCGGGAATCAGGTGGAGGCAGGAGGACTGGCAGGTGAAGACCAGCCTGGGCTACTCAGTCTGAAAGCAGTTTAGACTGCTTTGGAAGATCTTGTAAAAAAAAAAAAAAAAAAAAAAAAAAAAAAAAAATCCTCAATCCAAATCCAAACCCCTCTTATCTGCCCAGCCAACAAGTTCCCAAAAGCTCCCGTGGGCTAATTCCCTCAGCTGTGTCCCGCGCTGATCCTTTAGCCTCCTCACACAGCCTGCATTTCCTCTCTTTTCATCACCTTCCAAACAGGACAGGATCAAACTGAGCTGGGGAGCTGGGGAGGGGATGGTCTGGGAAGGGTGCTGTGTGTACAAAGTGTAAAAGGTAGACGGGGTCAGACACCCCCCACTCTGTCCAGGTAACAGCAGCTCGGCGCCCGGCTGGGCCTTTCCCGAGGGAGTAGGCTCACTCCTCTGTGCCTTCCAAAATGGCACTCAGCATTCTTAAGTGCCAAAATAAGGGCGTTTATCCTTCAATAGGATAAAGTTCTGCATCCACCTGAAAGAGAAACGAGTTAGCATGACCCGTGCGATCACAGGACTGGGAAGGGAGGTGGGTCTGAGGAGAGGCGTCTTGTTTGTTTTGGTTTGGTTTTTAACAGTTCCCCCCCCCCCAAAAAAAAAAAAAAACAAACAAACGCCCAAACATCCTCCACGCCTCGGACCACAAACTTGCCAACCCTTCATCTTGGACGTCTCTGGAGAGAGGTTATCTCCCCTGCCCCGCGCCAGAGATGTCCACTCGTTTCCCGGCGGCCGCGCCTGCCGTGCCCGGGGGAAGCTCCTAGCTTATTGTCCGGGAGTAACTGGACCCAGCAGGAGCACTCGGTCCTCCCGGGCTCCGGGTCGGCTCCCGCTCCTCCTCCGCCAGGCCGGGGACCCCGGGGTGCTGAGGAGGGCCGCGCTCC